CTAGTTTAGTGTTAAATTTGTCAATCGTATTTCAAGCAACTAGAGGTGAATTGGAATTTGGTAATTTAGGTCTAAATTTTGACAATAGTTTCTTAAATCAACCACAATTCCTTATATATATAATGCATTATAATGCATTATACATGAACCTTTGTGTTTGAAATATTAATGATCTTTTTTATATAATGGAGAGAAAAAAAACGCCAAACACAACAAATGTTTATAAAATGCTTGTCTTTGAACACCTTTTGTTCAATGCAGCCATTAGTGCATCAGTTGACTCAAATGGAGGTAGTTACTGTAGTGCAATTCCAGGTAGGATTCAATACTCATGTCAATGTCATAGTATTCTATATAATATTATATACATATTCTATATATTCCATATAACACTATATATAGACTCCTTGCTGCAAGGAGTCTCGTTCATGTTGGAAACCAATGCTGTAAAACTGTTTTTTTTTTTCTTTCAACACTGATCACAATCCCAAATTTAACAGGCACCTATCAGCACATCACCAGTTGCTTAAAAAAAGTAGAGGAATAGGGTAAGAGCATTTAGCTCATACATATTGCCTGATAGTGGCAGAGAAGAAAAATGACAATCTGCCCCCTTGCAAGCCTTTCCCTAGGTATCATGAAACCTCTGCAGGAATGAAAAAGATAATTTTCACAAGTTCATATCATGGTTCGTCGTTTTCAATAGGTACTTCACCCTGTCTGGCTTCCTCTCCAAGAACAGGTGGGCATATGAGCAGTGGCACAATGGCCCATTTATACACACACACACATATATATATATATATGACACATAAACTATATACTAAGGGAAAATAATTCCACACACACATCTTATTCATTACTAGGAAAAAAAAATTATAACTAAGCTTTTTACCAGCCTTGCTATTTTGAGCTACATTTTACAGATTGGTTGTGAATTTCACATAAATCACTTTTTACTTATTAAACCTCCATGTCTTGCTACATTAGTCAGCATTTATTTTGTAAGCCTGACTCTTTGCACTCCATGATCTTGTTATGAAATCAGCCTTTGGTTCACAAGGATGATTGCACATAACCATATGGTCGCCACAGGACACATAACGCCATGATATTTTAAACATATTGCTTGCACGTTGGAAAATAAAGGGTTATAATACTGGTAATTACACTTCATATATGCTGTTGCATGGTCAGCAGAATGACTGCTCTGTTACATTTTACAGAAGTGCAATTTTTGCTTCAATAGAGCGGCACTGGAATTATTTACCATCTTACTTTGTAATTTTGCAGGTTATTACTGCTGTGTACAAGTTTGCCTTTGCAAACCCTTGCAAAGGAGTCAACTCGACATTGTAAGTTTCTTATACATCACGACTATTGAATATACCGGACAGATATTAAACTAAAACAGGCTGTTTGACCACAAAAGGAATCACAGTAAAGACAAAAGGGAATCAGAGGCACACACAAAACATGCATTTCGCAGGAATGGTCCTGCCGCAGTGACCAAAATGTATACATAATATAGATTAAGGCACAGCGCACACATAAAAATAAATGTTTACATTTTATAATGCTACTTAAAATCACCTATCTCAGCGAACAAATATGAGGAGTCTGTTCCACCATTTGGTCATATTGTGTTAAGCCTACCACAGTACCCCAATATCGGTGGTTCCTAATGAATTCCAACGTGGGAGACAAACTAAATTAGTGCTAGTGCTACATAAGTTAAATTGTATTTAAATTAGGTGTTGTAAGAGCATTGTAAGTATGTATAAGGCTAAATAAATGTGAGAAACACAATTCAAAATAAATGCAGTGTCAAAACTACACAGTTAAAGTGATAGTGCTTTGATATATATATACTCACAATGCATATATTTTATCTGTTCTATGAATATAATAATCACAGCAAACCTCCAGATCTTAAAGCTGCCCATATTTGTCTTTAATAGCTTTATATAAATAATATTTTTGTAAGAAAATATTTATTAGACTTTAACATTTAAGAAAAAGGGATACAGAAAAAATAAAAGGTGGGGCATGCTAGTTACATAATTGGTTTAAAACAGCATTAATGTGAAAACATCTCCATGGTAACACCTTTGTAAGAGGAAAATCATTAGTCTTGAGGTTAACAAGCACTATCGCTCAGTGTCATGTTACAGGTCATGTCTCAAAATGAATCTCGAAAAGGAAAAAGGAAAACGGAAGGAGATAGAAGTGTAAGGGGTGCAGCCAGAGTAATTGGGGAACTGTAATCTCTCGTATGTCTGTTTAGAATGACGTACCAAGTTATCATGTGTATCCCTGAATATTTACTACATGCCCACCACTTCTCATGTCAAATCTGTGTAAGAAGCAGGCACCACACTTGTATACTGGATGCTAGGACATTAAAGAACCAAGAACCAAAGTCCTCCAATACGTAGAGTACAATCCAGTGTGTCCAAATGCTCATATATGTCTGCTTCCTCCCAGATGCGAGAAAGATCAGCTCGTCCACAGAGTGTGAATAGCAGTTCTAGAGTGGAGGAGGTTGGCTGCCTCCAGTACAGGAGAATCAGGTTCTTGGCAGCATTCAGGATATGGACTGAAATAGATTTTTTATATATCCCCACTGGAATAGTTGTGTGGTTTAAGAGAAAAGCAGCAGGTTCAAAGTGGGGTTGTTTGTTAGAAATTTAGTAAGGTTTTTATTCCTATTGCTATAGTGTTTCTCTTAATGAATCTTGTGAACACTGGTTCAAAACACTTCTGAGTATGGAAACTGAATATATAACTGGTTTCCAGGACAGTGACCAGAAGCATCGTATCTGGATAGAAAATGTGTCACACTAGGGTTGACGTTTAGTCTAATATCCAAAAACTAAAATATAGAAAGGAATATATATATAAAATCACTTGATATATAGTTCAGTAACAACTCTGCATCATACAAAAGGAATCATTGAAATATATTGTACAGGGTATTTTCTGATCACAATGGACAAGTGACAGCGAGAAGTGAGGAAGTTGCTACAGGTTCAACCAGTTCATAGGTTTACGAGCATGGGAGGACTTTGGTGTTTTACTAAGTTTGCATTATAATTAACTGAAATCTGAATTTAAACTTTAGGAGACAGTAACCAAGCTGTCAATAAAGCAGAGTTGGAGACATTTTCCAGACCAATTTTGGCCTGAATGTTGCGATTGGATTTCTGATCATTATAAACAGAAGTTGTATGAATAATCCATATGTATTCGTATTCTTGCATTGCAAGACTATATAATATTAACATTGTTGTACTCAGAGGATGCTACCGTAATTTGCATCCAAATTAGATACTCATTGCCAGTGCTTTCCAGGGTATTTTCTTGCCCATCTTAATTTACATACTGTAAGTTAAATTAAAGGAACACTATAGGGTCAGGAATACAAACATGTATTTATCACCCTACAGTGTTAAAGACACATGTCAAGTGGCCGGCCTCCGTTGCCTCCCATAATACAGGTAAAAAATCCCCTTTATTTCAGTGCTGCATGGTTCCACCATTGCTGGCTCCACACACACTCTGCCCCCTTGGCTGGGATCATCAGAATTTTATGGCAAGACAGGAGGCTTCATATTTACTTAATCTTTCCTTACTGAACCTCCAAGCAGCAAAGAAACAGTTAACCATGATGTAAAAATTTTTTCAAAATGTAACCAGAGTGTACAACAATGTCATATGGTGTCATCAAGCTCCTCCCAACTCTTCTTTCTTTGCTGCTTGCCTCCCAGGTGAGTCTATTCCAATTATATTGCTACTACTTGTTGCCATATATTAAAACAGTTTACCTAATCACCATTTGATATTTATTTTAGTCATTTATTTAGACCCATTTTCTATTACATTTTCAGTTAGATTTGTGTCAGTTTTCTGCCTTTATCTACTATTTAGTTCAGTCTTTGTTGTTCACTGCAGCCTTTCTGTCAGTTTTTCTACCTTTTTATCATTATTTGTTCATATATTTTTTTTCCTACAAGGTCTTCTTAAGTTTCCATCGGTCCATTTCTAAACGACCAGCAGAGTATTTCGCTGGGGTTCCCGCGATTTGGCTATAGTTTAGGCCGCAGACTCTCTTCTCAGAGCAAGAGACCACAGCCCACTTTATTCCCTCCACTTTTTACTCAATTACGGACTCCATTTCCCAGAGTCCCTGGCCCGCTCTTTTGCAACCCTTCGGCTTTTCCTGCCCACTCGCATCTGCTTCTGACACACTTCCCTCCTCGCCTTCTTTAACTGACGGTGGCCATTTTGCCGATACGGCTTTTTTTGGGGGACGGACATAGCGCCACGGTCAGAATTGTACACAGCTGCAATATTCATCCATCAGCTTGGTAAGTCTCAGTTTCTATTTTAATTTAGCACAGTTTACTGTGTTAGAATATTTACTCTAAGTATTTATTTCCCTTATTTGTTTTATCAACAGATTTTCTAGAATTAACACAGACCTGCTGTAAACTCTTTGTATAATACAGGAGGGCTTTTTTTGGATGACCCCCACTTATTTTACGTTTATCTTGAGCTTTATTGTGGGTGACCCCCACCTGTTATTTGTTGCCACTCAGTTTAGGTGTACCACATCCATATTATAGTGGGTGACCCCCACTTCTTTGTTTGATAATTACAGGTGAACTCTACCTCTTAAATTAACAAGTGGTAACCCCATTCTTTCTATTTAAATTTGTGAACATATCCACTTTGCCTTATTTATTGCATGTGGCTAACCCCACTTGCTTTTTATTATAGTGGATTACCTCACTTACTGTAATTACAGTATTTTGTGTTGCCGCACTTACAGTTATCATTAATATTATTTATGTGACCCCCATTCATTGTACAGATTATTCTATTTTACTACTGTCAGGTTTTACTATAAGACTAATACGTCTGATAACACTGAGCCTGCCATTTCCCAAGAACTTCGAACATGACTCATTTCCACTATTGCTGAATCTATCCCCAAGGCGCTAGCGGCCTTTCATGATCAGACTTCTACCGAAGCTAACCCCACTGCGCGCATACTCTCTGACTCAGAGGATTCCCATACTTCGGATAAGGAGGAAGTCACGCGCAAGCGCTATTGGAAAGGGGATAGTGCATCCACAGGCAAGGGCAACGCTCCTGCCAAGTCCCTTAAGTTGTCATTAACTCTTCCACTCCACAATACTTTAGACCCTCTAGAGGGCTCTACAACCAATGCGGGTAATGTGATGGATGATTATTATCTCAACTGTTCCGACGTGGATCTCCTGGCAAATGCGCTACGAGACTCCTCATCAGAATTTGTTAAAGAGACCTTTATTAACATGAGACCTGTTACAGACCTGGATTCTGGTAATTCTAAGCCCAAGATGGCCCCTTCAGACATCCTACTGGATGCTTCTGGCCTGACCACATTACTAACTTTTACAATTGCCTCCCACAAAGATCAAATCTATAAAAAAAAAAAGACATTCTAAAATTATTGTCAGCTCAATGAATTTGCCTGCCCGATCTAGCTCTTATTACCCAGGCTATATACAAGGGACCTTTACACTACCAAGCTATGCAGTGGCTAAAAACATTTTATCTGCACCGGTCCACTTCCTATGACCAGTTGATTTACCTAACGGACAAAGTCCATATAGAACTCCACTGGTGGCTTCACAACATGGAAGCCTGGAATGGCAAAGCCATATTCGGATCACAGCCAGACTTCATTCTGGAATCCAATGCCAGCCTGCTGGGATGGGGAACTACGTGCACAGAGAGGTCCACCGGAGGACTTTGGTCCCCTTCGGAACAGACTCTACACATCAACTGCTTCGAATTAATTGCAGGAACCTTTGCGATCTGCAGTTTTGCAAAAGATTTATTCAATTGTTCCCTAGTGTTACGCATGGACAATGTCTCAGCAGTGAGTTATGTGAATCGATTGGGAGGAACCCAATCCAAACTGCTGTCCGATCTTATGAAGAATCTCTACCAATTCTGACTAGAGAGAAATCTGTCCATTCTGGTGGAATATCTTCCAGGCGCAGACAATCTAGTGGCAGACTAGTTCTCTTATCATTGGAGGGACGTCAGCGACTGGCAATTGGACCTCCTACTGTTCCATTACATTCATCGTCTTCGCGAACCCCTCACGCTAGACCTTTTTGGGTCTCGGTTGAACCGCCAAACAAAGGCAGTCGGTGCGTTTCTACACCCTTGGCCAGAGACAGGAGCTTATGCGTTCCTGCCCTTTTCGATGATCCAACGCACCCTTTATTGGGTCAAAGCTCTCACAGTAATGATAGTCATTGTAACTTCATTGTGGAGGGTCCAGACTTGGTTCCTTATCCTTCTGGAACTATCAGTGTATTACCCACTCCTATTGCCCAGATCCCCCGCGGTCCTCAGGAACACCGCTTGCTCTTCAAGAACATCTCCAGCTTGTAATTTGGACCATTTCAGGGCATCTTGGAATGTCTCTGGACTTTCGGAAACAGCTCAGGCTCTCCTATGGGATTCAATATGATTAAAAAATAAAGCTTGAAAACAATGTAAAAAATAGCAAAAATAAAAAAAGCACTATGGTAGAGTTGAAATATGTAGAAAATTATCACAAATGAACAAGCTGTGCCTTTTCTATATTACTGCAATATGATTGCCAAGTATTTATGGACCACCCAACTGACCGGTGAAGTGAACCTGTCGTTTCTATGTCCCTCTTGAAGATAAAATCTTAATAAAAACTACATATATTTTAAAGTTGGAGATCCGTTTCATTGCAAACTGCAATTTATCAGAATTTTGAATAATTGTCCAAATACCTGATTACCAGTCACCATATAGACTAATATCAAAACAAGTGACTCTCGCAATTAGAGTTCATTTTATGAATAATTGTTTAGTATAAAATGTTATATATATGGAATGTAATCCCTTTGCTGATGGAGGTTTAACTTCACCTCTGGCAGCTTCATTGTACTAGTGGTCCGGGCTGGCTATTGTCAATTCTGTGCATGTTTTCATCACAGTGTGCCTTTCATAACTGAGAGTGGTCAGTTGATGCTCTCAGCCAATGAATGGTGACTGGATAGACTTCTAGCATCTTCAGCTCTGCAGAAAGCGTGTCACCCGCACTGAAAGGAGCCTCAGAGCCTGGCAGATACCCAGTTAAGAGGACAAACCACTGCTAAATTCCCATTTTTCCCATTACTGGGGATACAAACCAAGGTACTGCTCATATTATAACAACTGCAGTGGGCTTAGCACCACTCACAGTTGGTCAGTGAAGTCAATACATATTTTATCACATCTGTACGGAGGTCTATCTGCCATAGTGATTAATCGCTGTACTTCAAATGGAATAATAGTTTAATCATTATTTAAAGACATTTGCTCATAACTTTAAGGAGAGCTATACATTTACCAATAAGGAGTTTGTAAACTTCAGGCCTAAGTAACCGAATGTTAAAATTAGCTGAATTTGAGAATTATGTTTAATTCATTTTTTTTTCTTAATCTAAGATTGGCAATCCCATTTCGCCTTCTCCATAATTCTCAGTTTATTAAACATTCCACTTTATGTCTGCCAGCTCCACCTCAAAGGGTTTATATTAATTTATCTATGAGACAATACAACAAAAAGTAAAAAAAGCACCTGCATCAGACAGTAATACAAACTATATAAACTAGAATGTGAGGTAACAAATCTTAGAGGAGAAAGATGAACTTTTACATTCAGGATCATCTCTAACATTCAGGTTAATATAAACATTATTTAGAAATCCAAGGCCAGTCAATATGATTTAACGTAATCTGCTGACCAGGGATGCCTATAGATTATTTTAACTGACTTCCACCTATGGAAACTCCCTTTAAACTTGTTCTAGTTTTTTGGTGAAAAGATGGCGCAGTAACATAAAATTACTTTCAGAACTCTCTTTATCTATGCCTGCCTTGTTTTTTTCCGAAATTATATAAGTGTGTATCTTAAAAAAGGTGCAATTGTTTTGGAAAGTGGAAATAATTTTGTCATCAACCCAAAATAAAACAGGGAAATTAGTATTCCCAGAAAACATTCAGATGCTCAGACAAAGATTGTATCTTCTGAATGCTTATTGTTATTATGCCTGTGTCATTCTCTCACTGCTACATAATCCTTGTTATCTTTTGCGATGAGTTCATTTCTAGTTATGCTGTAACAGCATGTGGTACGTCTTAATCCACCTCTGAAATACACTGTGCTCAAATACAGGTCTTTGTATTTAAGTTGCCATGCCTCCGAACGAAATATAAAGACGATAAGTGCTGTAAAGGGAGGACTACGAAACAGGTTTTTTTTTTCTTTATTCATGTCTTAAAATCTTTGTTCAACAAAATTTAAGCACAATTGTTTTGTATGTTTGTGCCGTCGAGCTGATAGTGTTGATGTCTAAATAAAGTTATTCAATAAATCCCATGCCAAGCTCAAGTTAGAAAAGCAGGAATAACAAACATATTAACTAACAGAAGTATCAATGCCAAATGACACTTCATAACTGGTCTGAGAAGGAGAAGGAAAGCTAGCAGCTCAAATTGCTAGAGTCAAAAGTTCCTCCAAAACTGTACTAGTGCACTATTTGCCCTGTGGCACTGAAAAAAAAATAAAAAATGACAGGGATATTTACTAAAGTAAGAATTCAAGTTGAGTTTAAAATTTAAAATTGACTTTTAATTCTCACTTAAGTGAATAACCCTGAAAGTTATACATGTTGAGCATGAGATCCAGGTGTCTCCATAAAACCAAGTAAGTTGATAAAAAATATGAGGCCTCCAGGCACACCCCTCCCCCCAAAAAACAACCCCAAAACCAGGAGAGGTTGCTGGATAGTCTATGTTTCTTAGTCCCTGTGAGCTACAGAGTAAAATGAATGGGGCCCATGAAATGAGCATTAACAAAACTGATGACCAGAAAGGGCATAGGAGATGCTCAGTCCCCCGAGCCCTTCTATTATTTTGTGCACCAGCAGACATCCTCAAAGCTAAGGTGACATGGTTTCCAGCAGATAAGGACTATTATTTTTATTATATTTTGTGTGGCCTGGTATCAAGATTAATATATACAAGTGATTAAGTATATATAAATATATAATTCTACATTTTCAAGTGTTACAATGATTTTAGATTTTATATTGCAGACACTCTGTCGATGGGTATTATTACTGCTAGTGCATTTTACCTTTGATTTTTTTATTTCGGTAAAATGTTTCAAAACATTCAAATTAAAAATAAATTAATTAAAAAGTAGTCAAATATCCTGTATTTGGTATTGATCAAAAATACTATTGCCTTTTGTAGCAAGGTCAAAATAATGTTTATATGTGTAGGTCTGGCCTTATGCCTTCAAACTCTCTTTTAAACAAAAACTAGACGTGATGACCTCAAGGGTATCATTACTTTTTAATTACTATAACAAAGGATATGTACCACTGGCATGGTTTACTACACCAGGAAGTGGATAAAACATACAACTTCCAAACGGTGTGCCCATATCCTAAACTTCCCAAGACTGCAGGGGTTTTGAGATATGTAGTTCAGCACTCAACAGCAGTTTAGCTCATTAAGCATTATTGAAAATACTGAATAAATACTAAAAGAACAGTCTGGCGCCTCTGCTATTGCCCACCCTTTTGATAACTCTCCATCCACCTTGTGTGTGCCTCTTATCTCACTTCTGACACCATCTATGCCCCTCTCCAAGACACTTTATGTGTAAGTCTGCATATCATGTATTTTATTTTCCTAACCATGCCGCCATTATGTGTCCCTCTGCGTGCCTCCAATGTATGTCCCTCTTCATACCTCATTTATGTGTCCTATTGCATGTCTCCCTTGTATATCTCCCTTCTTTGCCCTTGCTCCCCGTTGTATGTTTTGTATGTCTCTATATATCACCCATTTGGCTGGTTTCCTTGACACCCATTTGTTTCTAACAATGAATACTGAGAGTGCAGCATAATGTTCTGTTTCCACCAATCAACTTTACAACGTGCTGTATAAGTCCATCTCACACACTGGGAAGGAACGAACGGTGGGTGAAGCTCTTTGACAGCTGACACACTCACCGTGTTCTGGGAGAGCTATGTGGCAGTGCACCCTCTAAGTGCGCACTCAGTACAATTACATAGTATAAATACACTGTACAGTGGGTCTTCCGATAACTTAACACATTACAAATAATTCACATTCTTGCTATTCAAACTTGCTTACAGTAGAAAAGCGTGCCCTTTAAAGTTCTCTTGAGAAAGGAATTTCTCTGCTGAGTGTACTTCATCTCTTGATTAAACAGGATGCAAAGTGAAATATTTTCTGGGCTATATATCGTT